ACAGGAAAGTGTGTAAAAAAAAAAGGTGCTAGGCTTAATTCCCACAGAAGGAACTGAGGCAAAGAAACTTGCCTGTATAATTTCTTAGGTCCGAGAATATAGTATTTTGAGACTATGGAAAGTCTGTTCCCTTGTGTAGATTATGCTCTCCTCATAAAATTTCAGCCATAAGTCAAGCAGGAGAAAAACAAAAGAAATGTTAAGGAGCATAGAGGTACTAGAAGTTAGAATCTGATTGAAGCTGAAGCTTCCTGATCCTGAATCAAGGCAGGTAAGTGTTGATAAGAAAGGCAAAATCCAAGAACATCTGTCAGTCAAAGAAGAGCCAAACAGGAAAGAGTCTGTCAGAAGGAGGCTGGAAAATCCCGAAGTTATCCAAATGACACTAACATGCATCACCCATCGCCAAAATGAATAAAAAAGAGCAGAGACCTCAGACCCAAAAGATGAACCAGAGATATCCATTAGAAAACTAAGTCTATTAATAATGGCTGGAGATGGCTTGAATGGGTAATGAAGAAAAACTTTAATATAAGTTTAACATAACAGCAAATGTACAACGTTGACAAGGTTTTGTCATCATCAGGTACAAGTAATTTACATTGACACGGATTTAATTCTTGATATATCTAAGAGAACTGGGTAATAGTTATAGAAAAAGTAATGTACTAAATTTCAAGATTTTTTTCCACTGTTTTACAGTAATATTTAGAAAACAAACAGCTCCTTGGATTTGAAATGAAACAGATAAACTGATGATGAAATCTCAAAAAAAGTTGTTATACTTGATAATGACTTTTAAATTATTTTACCAAATTCACTAAAATTTATGATAACAAACACCAAAGCTATCTGTTAAATTTCTAAAATATTAATTTTGTAATTGTTTCAACTTATTTCAGTCTTAGTCTAACTGATATATGGCGTATTCTATAGTATTTCTTAAGTCCTTAAAAATGAATCCCTTATTACACTCATTGTGAATCATGTAATAAAACACACAAAACAAGTTATAATTGTTCCCTTATTTGTCAATATTCCTCATAAAAAAGAATATAACTGAGATTAAAATCAATTATAGTTAAATTGAATATACAGTACTGAAAATAATTATGGAAATGCACAGGAAACATACATAGAAGTCACAAACAATGAGTAATTGCAACAGAATAATCAATTTATCATTAATACAATAAATTATTATAGAAAAAGGAAATAAATCATACAATGTATTATTATTTTGTATTTTGTGTTAAACAGAGTAGTAAGCCTTGCTTTTATGCTGCCATAGATTTTAACAATTTATCACTATGAAATATTGTTCCAAATGTTATATATTACTCCCCATAGTCCAGCCAAATTGTTTTTGCTGTTTGACCTTCTCAGTTTCCATATAAGCCCACACAGCCTTAATAATATTCATATATAGACTTCATGCATGCCAAGCCAAAGTTATGAGTTCTCACTTATTCTCTTTTACTCCCAAATATCATTTCACCACATCTTATGCATGCCTTGATCACCATCTTGCTGGAAGATGAATCCATGCCCAAACAGACTTTCCTCCTAAGAGAATGACATGATGGGTAAGAGTCTGATTATACCTGTCAGCAGTCATGGTGCCATCAATTTTGTGTATATTTTAAAGACCATTAACTGAGGTGCAGTCCACGCTTATTTTGATCTCCCAGTATGCTTCACTGTAGAAGTATATTGACTGTGATATCATTCTCCACACTGTCATTAAACAAACTATTGTTGGTTGTTGCCAAACAATTTGAATTTTATCTGTAAAAAAACACCCTCTTTGAGATGATGCCCATTTCAAACTTTTGGTTTGATTATATCTTCAAAGCAACAGTTTTTGAGCAACTACATATCAACTAAGGTCACTTTGTACTAATATGTATCTTAATGCTCTGGAGGTAATATTCATCTCTGTACTTACAGCTAGGTCAACGACAAGATCCATACTGGATTTTTGTGTATCACATACAAAACATACCCCGAGTTACTTAATATCACTTCTGATGATAAATCAACAGCATTAGTTTCATATAGCCTTTTTAGCTTTCTTACAGCTCCTGCTGAAAAATGGAATTTCACCTCAATCTGTCACATAGAGTAGACTTTGTCAGCTCAAACTTTGATTTCTACACATTTTTCATGTGCTATTTATGTCATGAGACCAATGAGTTTATTCACCACAAGACTGCTTGGAATAGTATGGCTATTTGTATTTTATAGGTATTATGCTGGTATGACACTATCCAATTGGTTGAATGACAGTTGATCACAGTGTAAACCCTCAATACATGACTGTACTCTGGTGCAGTTTCATAGAATAAAGAGGGGACAATACAATGACATTTTTATATTATAGCCATTTTATTCACTGTTTCCATAATTACTTCTAACACTAAACCAAAGTTGTATGTGCTGGCTTATTAACACACATAACAACAGTGTGTGTTTTTTGAAGTAGAAGACAAATCTGTGATGAAACTTCATAGGTTTGATATTTTAACTGTGATATTTTCATATAGTCATCCTGCAAAACAGTCTGAAAATCTTAATATTTCAAACATATATGATCATAAGTTAATATGACTTTTTTAATCATAAATTGGCCCTGGTTCAAACTTTTTCAAATAAACTATATTTCTTACAATGTGAAAAAGTACATGTACAACATACTTTATAACAACAAAATAGGATGTCTCAAACTTAGTTATCAAAGCATATTAATCACTTACACACACTTGTATAAAATTTACATGAGCAGCTAAGATATACCATAAAAGTGAATAAGTTAATTTTATTGTTTACTTAAGCTATTCAGTTCAAAAATATCTTAAAACCATTTGAATTTTTGTGTGTCAATTCTTTTTCATCCAAGATTGTTATATATGTTCATGTAAAAACTCAACTGTCAATATACCGAGATAGGTACAGGTGATATTAATCTAAACACTGCATTAGAGAGAGAATAAAAAATAAATACATATAATAAAGGAAAGGTTAACACATATGGAATCATAGGTGCTTATTTTGTAAAACAGATGTAAATGATGATGAGGATTTTTACGGACATATAAGTACATATTACAACAGCAAACTACATATAAGAGATTAAAAAACTATGATAAGTACATTTAAGAACAGTTTGTTATACAAAGGAATAAACACAGTTTGAGAGAACTGAAATACACATGAAAAACAATTCTATCTATGTTACAAAATATAGTCTCAAGACCAGACAATGACTGAAATCCTTCAAAACACAGATCATGTGTGGAATATGCTGCCTAAACATCTTATCTAGTAACAAATTATAATCTCCAGATCAGACAAAGCCTGAAGTCTTTAAAAATACAACCCAAATTGGGAATATGATGCCTATACCCACCTTATTTATGTAACAAAATAGTCTCAAGACCAAACAAAGCCTGGAGTTTCCTTAAAAACACAATCCATGTGTGAAATATGTTGCCTAAATCTCTTATCTAGTAATAAATTATAATCTCAAGACCAAACAAAGCCTGGAGTTTCCTTAAAAACACAATCTACATGTGGAATAGGTTGCCTGAACTCATCTTGTCAATGTTA